ATCCCTCCCCTTAGTAATCAAAGAATTTTTCAACTATTAACGAAGATCTGAAAAACAGCAAACAATTAGTTTGGTAAGACACAGAGTGATTTGTCCAAGGTTAAGGAAGAAATCTGCAGCACAATAAGGAACTCCTATTAGATTTCTTGCCTCTTTGTCTTATTCCTTAAAACCGTTCCTCTAAGAGATTGATAGCAATTAGTCTCCATGGAACCATGACACCATTTGATGAATCATACAACAGGAAAAGCCTACCTCTGAAAAAAAAAAATTATTTCCTGTTTCAGTAGTGTATTTGTAATGCACAGTGACAGGAGAAGACCGGAAAAAGGGACATTTTTCCAGTGGGTTGATTAATTAATATAAGTTGCCTGAATTCAGTCCAAGAAATCTATGTTAAGGAGGAATCCTGCATTGCTTTTCCTAACTGAGTTTGGAGTAGTCCTCCAAATACTTTCTCTCAAGAGCACAGAAGGAAATTATGAAGCCAGGTACAAAATCAGCCTTTCTCAGCAACAAGGTCATCCTTGATACAGATCATGGGCCAAAGGAGAGACACAGTGTTTATCAACTCAGGAAAAGGGGMTGAAGAGAACATACAATACAAACATTATCAAATCTAAGAGTAGTTGTTTTGTCTGGAAGAGGTGATTTACACAGTTTCTACACTTACATTGTTTCCCGTTTGATCAGAAATTATTCCGAAGTCTAGGCTTATATCCAAATCCCCAGTTTGCTAAGGCTTGGAAGGGGTCACAAATGAAGTTTAATTCACAAAGGTTCCTGCTAGTTAATAAMTTTTACAATGGTTAACTTGTTAGGGACAGCTGAATACATTGTGTTTTTTTCATTAAAAAAAAATAATGTTACAAACCTGTTTTGACTTTAAAAAACAACTGGCAGCATTTTAAAGTCAACATTGGAGACTAGATAATGCAGAAGTTGCGAGTATTGTTATTTGAGTTTCCTAAACCATAAAAGTAGATGGTAAAAGAAAAGGTTTGGGAAAGATTGCATTGCATCCATTGGTTTTTTCCTACGTAATCAGAATGGGTTGGTATCCATTATGCTCCATATTGGCATGAAGAGTACTCAGTGGCTTCCAGAAATCCACATGCTACCACTCTGAAAAAGTCCATTACTCTTTGGCAAAGTAGTTCAAGACTAACCTAGATACTAAAGCTTCTTGAAATTTTGTCCCTTCACTTACCTGTAGAGTCACTGTGCCACTCAGCATCACCTGCAATCTGGAACTGTATAAAACATGATTTTTTGTTTTTTGTCCCCAAGAATACTTTCTGTATTCTCTACATTTCCCATTTGATTAAACTGTGTCATTTCTCCATCAAATCTCTGTGGAAAGGGCTAAGAAAAACAGAATCGAGGATGAGATACTAAGGTAATCACAGAATAAGAGCATAATTCAAGTGGGAAAGGACTTCAGGAGAAGTCACTCTTGCTTGGGTCAGGTCAGAGTCATGTCTTAAGTCAGGTCAGGTTGCCCCTGGCTTTATCTAGCTGTTCTTTGAAAATCCCTAAAAACAGAGTATGCATGACCTCTCTGGACAACCTGCTCCACTGCCTGGCTGTTGTCACAATGAAAAAGATTTTTGTGATAGGCAGGTTGAATCTCTCTTGTCCATTATCCTTGCACCATGCATTGCCGTGAAGACCCCAGCTCTTCATATTGATAAGCTTCCTGTAGGCTCTGGAGGGCCTCTGGCAGGCCCCCCTCAGTAGGCCTTTTCCCCAAAATGTACCTATCCTGCTGAGGGGCTCCAGCTCCTGATCATCTTTGGAGCACTGCCCTGAGCTAAAGGTGATTAAGTTACCTTCACGTACAGAGACAGAAGAGATTCATTAGCTCAGCCCTACAAGCAGATGAACCAGTTCTGGCAAGAATGTCTCAAGCAAGTCTCTCTCACAATGTTGCACTTTCTACATAAGATATGTCAAGTACATGTGTAAGTCAGTTTTAGAATAACTTCATGACATGCATATACTGAATAATACATGTGAAACATTATCCTAATGAAACCACTGAACTACCATAGAACCACATTTTTTTCAGAATGTTCTCACAATCTTTTATACAGCCACTCTTAGTCAGATGCAATGCACTTTCTTTTTCACATCTGTTCTTGAATCTGACACGTCTTGATACTAGTAACACCAATGTGTATRTGCATAGACATTTTTCATGAATTCTTGAAGCAAGAGATATCAAAAGACAAGGTCACTTTCTCTCCTACCATAAATATACATTTTGAAAAGAAAAATGACCAGAAATATGTTTTTTTGTATACAACTACTCCAACCCCCTTTTTACCAGTACCCTATGATGCACTTACCAGCACACAGTATACCTTAGGTTGGGAATCACAAAAACGGCAAGGGGGAAACCATCAACTAGGTAAGGAAAGAACCAAATTCAATAACCATATCGAAAGATATTCGAGTAAAGGAGGAGCATGAATACCAAGTCCAACATTAAAAATGTAACCTGCACTAAAGTCAATGACAAAATCCCTCCACATTTCAAACTGAAAGATCTACAGTGGAGGATTCAAATGCAGATTTGAAATGACCCTCAAACAGGGGGCATGCCTGGAGAAGGACTACTAACAAATCAATATGCTAGACATAGAGGCCATCTGTGATATTTGGAGCTGAAATCTGCCAGCATGCTTCACTTAATAAGTGCACATTACTGCACTCACAGCTTTACTTGGCAGCAAAAGTCGGACCTCTGTCAAGAGCCTCAAGTGTGATGCCCAGTTCAATTACTAAAGGACACATTAAAATCTGGCTTCTATGGTTAAGAAAGAAAAGGAACCTATTTTTATTTTGGGATCAGAGTCTCCCCACTCTCTTTGAAGAAAAATATTTTCAGTCTACTCAGTTTCAACATTCACATTAATAGCCTTATTTTCCTTAATAAGCAATCTGAGACAAACTGAGAGCTTGGTAAACTTGTTCTCTACCAAATACAAGATATTAAAATATAACCATAGTGGCAACAAAGGCTCTTCTATTTTTAAGTGTCATTGAGAAAAAGTTATCTACAGTAGGCTTTCTTTGCACACTCTTCCCTGTTCTCTTCAGATATATCATTTAGAAGGACAAATCCAGGGTATTTCTGTTACCTACCCTTAACAGTGGCCAAATCCACTCATGCATGTTAGTTTTGGGGCAGAGTAATGCAGTCTTTCCAGTGATATCAATAGGTCCATTCTTCTCACACTGAATGACTGTTTTTCCTCCTTTCTTCCCCTGTCTCTCCTCTCCTCTCCTTATCCTCCCATGCCAGGAAGGGAAGGAATTCTAGTTTTCCTGCTCAAGTATCCAATAATAATTTCAGCCATCTGTTTCAATACAAGAAACTCTTCATAGAAGTCCATCTAATGGCAAATCATTAGAGATCAGGATGATTTATTTTAGTTTAGTCCAGTGTCACTATTTCAATAAAATAAAAAATAACTAAGGATTTGGGAAGTACTATGGTTTACCTGTGTAAAAATTCACTCTCTTGCCAATATATTCTATCACTGCTGACAGACATTGGAACATTCCTTTCATCTCTTTCCTCTTCTTGCAGCTTAACCTATCCCCTTAAGGAATATTTGCTTTCTCTAAAATAGATTATAAACTGTATGCAACATGAAAACCTTACACACTTCCTTTACCATCTGCAAGGCTTTCCTTCCGACTTCTTAAAAAATAATTAAGTCAAAAACCTTTTATTTGTCATTTCATTTTGGTTAAATAAACCAGGATTACTTTTCTATAAKATTTTTTTTTAAAAAGGATTGTTATTTTCAGATACGTGCATCTGAATTAGAGAAACATTTTTCAAAACAGTCAACCAAACATCCAAGTCTAGTGAGACCAAATGTGGAATGCTAACTGTGATAAAGAGCAAATATGGAGCATACACATCCACACACACAAACTTCCCCTGTATTCATGAAGAAAACATAATATGGGATTGGTTTCTTTCAAATAATTCTTTCTGAATCCCAGTGTGATTCCAGGATGTGAAAATTAAGAAAAATTTTATGGGTCAAATTCTTATTAACACTACATGTGCTCAAGTCAACTGAAATTGATGACAAGTGGATGATATGTCAGAGGCTGGAATTGGCACAGAAAATCACAATGTGGGAAGTTCTTATAAAAAAAAAAATAGACATGACATAGTGCTTTGAATGAAGGAGGAAACAGTTCTCAATGTGGCCTGGGAGAGAGAAAAGCAGAGAAAAGCAGAGAAAAATTGATCCAACAGCTAATAAATTATCAGATAACGTTCAATTGCCAAAACTGAGCCAACTGCAAGGATCTATGCGTTCCTTGTGGCTCTGGTTGAACTTCACCCCATTATGTAAGTAACTCTAATGGAAGAAAAGCTATACCAGCTCCTGGTCCATTCAGAGCTTTAAAGAGGAGGGACTAATTTATTACTTTTGTATTCTTTGGAAGTAGAAAATGGCTATTTTAAACATCGTTGTAGAGTCACATTAAGTCTTCAGTACAAATGTCCCTCTTCTTTCGTCTCCTTTTTTTTTTTTTTTTTTTTTTTTTTTTTTTTTTTTTTTTTTTTTTTTTTTTCTTTTTTTTTTTTTTTTATTTTTTAATATAAATGTCCCTAAATTAAGCCTGGGTAACTTGCCCAGGTAAATCAAAGCCTGGTAAATCAAAACCAGTTTCACATATTCATGTAGATGATTTAGCAGTAATACTTCTAGCAGAGGGAGTTCGCAAATATTATCAAATCCATGTTCACATTTCATGACAACTGACAGATGGAAATCAGAAGCTATTCTGACACATTTTAGCCCATTTTTCTGCTACTGGAATGACTACAAGCACAAATGTCTGGCTAGTTAAACTTTTGCTCATTTGAGAGAAATGTGAAGATGCGTCATGTCCTCAGCTGAGTTAAGGAACCACTCAGGATGTCGTGTAACATTTAATTTAGCAAAAAGGATTAAACTTCTAACCTGGAACAGCTATCCTCCCAGCTGTTGGATGATTCATTTCCATCACAAGTCCATTGTGCACTACCTAGGAAAACAAAACAAAACAAAACATGTACTTTATATAAAATATAATCAGTTCCTAAACTCCTAAACTTTCCTAAAAGAGGAAAAAAAGAGAAAAACATTGCCATGTTCTTTCAGAGATTCCCTGAAACTACGAGGAGCTACAACGTAAGTAGTTTTCTTAATGTGTAAAATGAARGCTCTGATGTTTGACACTACTCTTTATTTATGCATCTAAATAAATGCTTCACTAAGACAGCAGGTCTAACATACCTTTAAGCTCTTAAATTCATCATCAAACATAAGAAACTGAGCCGCATGTTACACTTTCAACCACTAACAGACAACAGGTGCCAACACAGAATGACTATTAAAACCTCCAAATCCTTTCATATTAACCTCTAATATGTACTAAAGGCCTATACATAAACTATGTTCTCTTATTTGCTTTTCCGCTGTTAGTAAGTATTGAACTTGTGATGGAGCATACCATGAAATGCTGTCCTAATAGCTTTTATAAACATTTTGAAAAGATTAAATAATTTTGATGGTTTTTTCTGTTCTTTTGAGTGAGTATGACATGCTTCAGCCCTGTGTATATATCTCTGTGGGATGATTATTCATCACAATTTTCAGATTCTTGTTATTAACCTCATCCAAAAAGCAATGTGTGATACCAAAATTCCCAAGTAATAGAGAAAAAGATATACATACTAGCAAACCCACTACTCCAGTGAATATAATTCTGCACCCAAAGCCAATAATCAATATTTATAATTTCTTTATTATTCTTCTATCCTTGAAATAGTTAATATTACTATAATATTAATTAATATTAATATATTATATTAAAATTAATATAATCAGAATTATTAAAAAAAAAATAAATAGCCACCCACTAAGCAATTACTTTCACATCCAATATCCACAGCAATTACTTTCACATCCAATGTCCATAGCAATTACTTTCACATCCAATGTCAGCCATAGAAAATGAAAGATGGACAAAACCTTTTAAGTAATATATCTACCTATTCACATTGCACCATGAACAACACTAGCAACCTTGACTATTAATGATAAGTGTTGGTCTAATTAATCTTAAACATTTCCAATTAATGAGATGAGAATTTTCTTATGAGGTCTTGTGTAGGTTGCACCCTATTGTCTATTTTTATTGTTAGAAATTTTTCTACTGATGCATAATCTAAATACCTGTCTATTAGATATCTTTATTCTTGTCTTTTCCCCAACTGGAAGCAGAAAACCAATCACTAACATCATTATAACATTCTTTTATCTACTGGAAGATCGTAATCACATCCTCCCTCAGTCTGCTCTTTTCTAGACTAAACAAAACTAATTCCTTTAACCATTCTTTCCAGGTCAAATTTTGTGAACTCTTTACTGTGTAGAATAGCATGCTTAAAAAATTCCCATTCCTGAACAGGTGGTGTCAAAAGGTCAGGTCAGTTTTCTCTTAACTTGTGGGGTGAACCTATTTAGCTGACATTTAGAAATCCAGATATTTCCAATAATAGATGCTGGTGGAACAATGTCAGTTTAATTATTTGGCGGTATACCAAATCATTAGTTCTGTTGCTCTTTCAGAAGGTTAAAGGCAATTTTGGTAGATTCTGGAGACATCCAGAATTTTTTCCCAAATGACAGAATTAGAAAATATAATTGCTTGTTTTAATTCATATTTAGAGTCTTTCCACTTACACCCTTAATCAAACAGTATCGAATGTCTGGCCTCCTTTCTCCAGAACTTACTTACATGAGCTTGCTTTATGCATTTAACTGGTTATTTGGGACCTGAATGCAAGAAAACACACGCATTTGAGATCCACACAATGCTCAGGTGAATAAGCAGATCTTCAGCTGGCAAATTAAAGGATGTACCTAAAAGTGGCTCAATTTGGTTAAAGAAAAACATACAAATTTTCTAGCAGCTACTCAGGTCTCCACAAAATTAATGGTTTTACCTGTTCTGGGTCTCTAAATTCTTATTCTCATAACACAGACCTAAATACCTCTTAAAAGACTTTTTAAAAAATCTTTTTTTATTTGTTGTGTGACTCAAATTCCAGATCCCTTTTCTTTCCAGAGTGAACTGCAAAACCCTTGAAGTATCTTTGAGGATCACCACCACTCCTGAAAGAATTGCTTAAGATGAAGCGAAGCTTCCTTAATATTTTTATTATAAATACAGTRTTGAATTTCCCTCTCAGATATATTCTTTACTCAAAAGCACTGCCATTTCAATAAATTGAAATGATTGAAAATATTTTCTACAGTAATTAGGCCTATATTGATATACTCAGTTCCAAGTTTTCTTTTGAAGAAAACAATCCCAAGCAATGACTGATCAAAAACTCTGGGGTTTTTGTTTTTTTTCCCTACATCAGCATCACTGTTTAAAATAACCTTAATTTCCCATTCCATGCATTCCACTATTAGGATTCCCAAAAAGTAATTGAAAAAATCAACTTCACTAACTTCTCATGTGCATTAAAAAAAAAAAAAAACATGAAGGAAACATATTACNAAAAAAAAAAAAAAAAAACATGAAGGAAACATATTACTGCATTCTATCCATGGGAGGATGTAATGTTCACATCCTTTATCATCAAAGACAAGGAAAATCTGAGGAAAAGACAAGAAACAACTCAAAGGGTTTCTCCTCCATTGTCTTGTACTACTCAAATGGTCATGATCTTTCTGATGTGGTAAAGTGCTCTATTGTGTCTGTATTCACCTGAGTTCATAATAAGAAACTGATGAACCAAGAGGATAAGGTAAAAGATGTTGGCAATCAATAGATCAAATTTTAATTTTTTTTTCTATATGGCTTATTTTGCAGTCTAGTACTACTGTGTGATCTGTTACTACTTGAGAATTTCTGAATTAAATAATGTTTGGGAGGCATTTTACACTGAGATCATTATAAAGAAATCAGAAGCACAGTCTTCAGTCTTTCAGTAAAAACATTTTAATATGCATCAGGAACAGTGTGGCCGGCAGGATTAGGGAAGTGATTCTTCCCCTTTACTCAGCACTGTTTAGGGCACACCTTGAGTACTGCGCCTAGTTCTGGGCCCCTCAGTTCAGGAAGAACATTGAGGTACTGGAACAAGTCTAGAGAAGGCCAACGAGGTTGGTGAAGAGTCTGGAGCATAAGACCTGTGAGGAGTGGCTGGGAGAGCTGGCATTGTTTATAATGGAGAAAAGGAGGCTCAGGGCAGACCTTTTCACTCTCTACAATTCCCAGAAAGGAGGTTGTAGTCAGTGAGGGTGAGCCTCTTCTCACAGGTGGTCCATGRCCAGATAAGAGGATGGTCTCATGCTACTCCAGGGGAAATTTAGGTTGGACATTAGAAGGAATTTCTTCAAAGAAAGGGTGATTAGATATTGGAATGTGCTGCCCAGGGAGGTGGCGGAGTCACTGTCCCTGGAGGTGTTTAGGGAAAGATTGAATCTGGTCTAGTTGACATGGTGGTGTTTAGTCATAGATGGGATTAATGGTCTCAGAGATCTTTTCCAATATAAGTGTTTGATTCTGTGATACCATTTTATTTTATTCCAAATACAACATAATTTCAACTGTGATGATGCATGCAACTAACCACCCATGACAGCACAGTTTCTCTTATAATGGCCAGCAAGGTTTCAAGTCCATTCTACCTAAACTAAACTTCCAGATCCCTATCCCCAGCAAACTAGATGCTGGAATCCAAAAAATATCAAACCAAGTAGCTCCCACCTCCGTCCTTCCCTGTTCCAAATTTAAAAWGTTCTATTTCATGTGGAGCTATGCACTCAAAATATGCATTTGTATAGGTACCACTCTTTCAGAGATTCATTTAGTTTAGTGAAAAGCATTTTCAGGGCCACAAAGGAAATGATGTAACCATTTTCTCCATATTTTTGTAGCCACAAGATAGCTGGCTGTTGGTAAATGTAATTACTACCCATGCTGCCAAACCACAGAAAAGTAATAACAGTTTTCCCTGTATATGCTGAACACAGAGCAATGGCCATAATCATCCCCTGAAGAAGTAACAGCACATGTTGTGAACAAAATGCCATATTGGAATTGCATCCCATATCCTAAGAGTGCCCCTTTCCAAATAAAAATGTTAACTCATTTGAAATTTGGAAATGATATTAAACATATTCTCATGTGATGCCTGGTTCTGCTTGGTCTTGTATTTCTAGAAAGTTGTTGTGCAATAGAATGGTTTGCATATCAGCATGTTTCCCCTCCACCTTTTTCCAATGCAGCAATCCCAATATTTTCAAGTTCCTTTGCAAAGTTTGCCTTTCATCACTAATAACTTTACTATTCTTCTTTCCAAACACAGTTTCTAATATGCCAGGGTCACTTGGAGAAGGTATTAGCTCTCTACTGCATCTAATTATTGTATTAATGAATCCCAYATATCTCTACCTCTCAGATTTGAAGTTTCTCAACATTTCATGAAATAGAAAAATAATTTAAAGAAAAGTAGCTTTCTTTACAAATTTTCRAATTAATAAAATCTGGCTTTGTTGTTTCCTATTGCCTATTAATTTAGCTCTTTTCTCCTAGTCCCTTACTCCGACACAGTGAACTCTGTAAGTTACAGTCTCTTAGATCCCTAACACCACATCTGTAATACCATATGAATATACACAGGAAAACCACACTTCACTGCAACATCCCTGTTCTCTGCTTCTGCTTTCTCCTAGGCCAGTGTCTTACAGACTGTTTGCTKTACCAGACCTGTTGGGGGGTTTTGTGCATGTGAGGTGATGGCTTTGGCAAAGTCCTTCTTATGTCACAACTTCATACCTATATGCTGCTATATGCTGTAGACAAAATTACTTTTTCTTGACATCCCTGGGTATACATCTTTAACATGATCCATGTCACATCATTAAAATACTTCATGCTTTTCTGCTGCATCTCTTGCTCTACTACAGAACACCACACCTAGATTCCCTCATGATTCTCAGGATTTAATTTCCTCACTTTTT